TTACATTGTTGTCCTTCTCGCTCTTCCTTTGCATCCCCAAGCTTGGAAGCCATTCTGTTATATGTGTTTTGTTCATCAATTTAAATTATGCCTTATATAGTTATATTTTTTTTCGACTGTTATGTTTGTGTGATGTGTTGTATGTGTCATTAACTCGCACAAACTTATAATTGGTGAGGAGTTCAACTTCTGTTGTAACAATTAATTAATTTATATGAATGGCATCTGCAAAATTTACTGGAACGGGTGCATCATTTACCACGACCTCTATTTCAGATTGCATCAGGTTATTGGAGAATTTAATATGGATAGTGCAAATGTCATCCCATCTGCCCAACCACAGATTTATCGATCGTCTGTACCATGTGAGTGTCATGGTTTAGCACGCAACTGCTTCAATGCAAACTGACATTAATATTTTCCCTTGAATCTCATTTGTTTAGGTAAACGTCGAGCAGTGTTTATTCATCCTGGAGATCAGTACCAACGCTGTGTTTTATCTGCTGAAGAGGAAGAAGCATTTGAGAGAGGTGTGTTATCTGTGTTTTAATTTTTCTAATTAGTTCATCTATTCAATGAGTAATACATGGTTTTATATTTAAATTCTGCAGAAGAAGCTGCCTTACAATTCCAACTCTCTCAACTTCGGCGAATACTATCCCAAGTCGCCCGTAAGAGAAGACATCATATTTTGAAACAGAAGGTTCATAGGAGGGGCTTGCCTTTTGAACACCAAGGTTGTTGTTTGCTAAATTTTGTAGCAAGTCTTACAAATTAGGCTATTCTAGATTGTTGAATCTTTATTTATTTCTTTAATATCGTATGTGTTTTGGTGTTGTTCATAGTTTTGGAGCCGGAGTTTAGATTTCTATTACAAAAGCAAAGTCGATTACTTCGACGTATTCATCTGCATAGAAAGAGACGTGGCCGAAGTTTCTTTCCTACAGAAGTCAATCAAAGTATGTGGATTCTAATGGCCACTATTATACATGAAATGGTTCATCTCTATTTTGGTTTAGTTTTTGTACATTGGATATATGTTTTTGTGTTCTGGTCAACATATTTTGTTTCCTATTTTGGTTTTAGAACATATAATGTACCCATTTATGCCATGCATATAATTTAGTGATGTACGCTTCATGTCACCTTATGCAAATAGTGGATTGTTTTTAGATGTTGATGTGTCAACGGCAAATTTGTGTGTTATGAACAAACTTTGGTGTTTCCTGAAATTTGACTTATTCTTACTTAAAATGAGCGGTATACCAATCTATCTTGCCTTGAGAACATTTATTTTAATAATTGTGTTTACTGTAGCGCGCCTAAATCGGCTTCACAGTTTCTCAAACTCATTCAATTTATGAATTACTGTGACAAAAATTTATTAATATTACTTATCTATTTCACTATGTCTTCCGTTGGTTGAATTTTTTGATATTGGTCCACCTTCATGTACGTGTCAACATTGTGGAGCAGTTATGTGGCGGTTCGAGAGTACTTTATCTACACGGAATGATGTGTTGCCTGCATTTCCTTTATGTTGCAAACATGGTAAAGTGAAATTGCCTCCCCGCAGAGATGTGCCCGAATTTCTTAAAACTCTACTTGAAGGGGATACACCATTAGCGCGTCACTTTCGTACTAACATCAGAGCCTATAATGGGGTTTTTTGCTTTATTTCTCTCGGAGGTAAAGTCAATCACTCTATTAATGATGGTCGTGGAGTTTATGTATATTCAATCGGTGGTCAGATTTATCATCGAATAGGATGTTTGGTTCCTGGTGATGGGGATAGTCCGAAATTTGCACAGCTTTACATTCACGATTCAGATAACGAGGTGCAGAATCGTATGGACTTTTACTCCACTGATCCTGCCAAGAATCCGTTGCGCCAGTGTATTGTTGAAGGCCTCCAGCATATGTTTGATGACAATAATATCCTGGTACGTACATTTCGTTCTGCGCGAGATAGGATACAAAACTCTGGTGTCCAGGAGCTTCAACTGAAACTATTGGCTAAGCGTGAAATTAATAGTAGAGAATATGATTTGCCCTCTGCGAATGAGATTGCAGCATTGATTGTAGATGAAACAGGAGAGCAATCATTTTCTCCAGATATTATTGTTCAATAGAAGGGTTCAGAAATGGAAAGGATTAGCGTATACCATCCAAGTCTGATGGCATTACAATATCCAATTTTATTCCCATATGGCGAGGATGGGTGGCATCCATGCATTAGCTATAGTCACAGTAGCTGTAATATCAGTGTAGGAGATAAAATGATAACCCAGTGTGATTTCTATGCATATCGTCTTCAAACCCGTCTCCAGGAGTCGAATTCTCTGTTATTATCTGGTAAATTGTTTCAACAATATATGGTGAATGCATTTGCGTTAATTGAGGCTGAACGCTTAGACTGGATGCGTACCCACCAATTCCCGGGTATTTGTTCCTCCCTGCACAAGTTTTGATTTTGGTTCTTTCACCTTCGTTCATTGTCCACGTAATTATTTTCAAAGACTTAGTTAGGAATATGCAATTACAAGCCTTTCGGTGTTAATTATTCCAACAGGAGAATCCTTGATACTAAAATTTTGCTCTAAACATGTACTGAAGTCGAAATTAGAAAGAGAATATGCATGACTGGTAGTGCTGCGATTCGCTGTGGTGTTTTGAAGAAATGGTAGTGCGAGCACATTTTGGTAAGGAATCCCAAAAACACGATCATAGGAGTCAAACTTATCTAGGGCGGATTGTGTTTAGATAAAACCTGCAGTTAGTTATTTATGTCATGTAGATATGTTTGCTGAATAGCTTTGTTTTCAGCTCAAATTTTCTCAAGTAATGTGTGCTTGGCTTTATAGTGAAGTTGTTGGTTATATGCTTTGCGCCGGCACTAGACATGATAGTATCAACCACTTTAAAGTTTGGATGTGAAATTGGGATAAGAAAGGAGGATAGAATCCACAATTTTGGGTCATGAGTTAATCGAAATCTATTTCTTACTAACTTGCATGTGATGTATACAGCTCCCAAGATGTAAGATTGGGTAAAGACCTGGTACCTGCTTGGTCAAAGGGACAAGTTTGTTAGGTAACCTGGTTTACGCTTTAATATCTTTTCTCTTTGTCCTTCTTGGTACTTGAATGGAATATAGAACAAATAATAAACTGAGTTCTTTTTTTCGATGATATTTTTCTAGAACATTTGGTCTGTTTTGGAACCATGGGGAATGTGTTTGTTTGGTAGCAAAACATAGTTCTCACAAGTTACCTGGCTAACGCAAACAATTGAGTTTGAGGAAGTTATTATATGTTGCGTATTCTGGTTTCATTATTTCACACGATCTCACTTTTATTGTTCAAAAGCTTTTTTCTTCATATGGAAATTTGACCTCTACCTACTGGGTTGCTCTATATTCTTATAGAGTTAGGGTATTAAATTTGATTTGTTCTCTTTTGTTTAATTGCATATAGTTTCATTTTGTCCATTGTGAGTTTTTGGATTACAGTGTTTGTAGACGACTATCGATTTGTTGTAAGATGTTATGCCATGGTCCCTATGAATTTATGTGGTTGATCAGTCGGTGGGTTCGTCAAACTCGAAGCGGAAGGTCTGTCATTGATGCGCCCTGCTTACAGCAGTATGAAGGAGACTTTCAATGCTTACATGAGGATTCTGATATCATGGTGAATTAGAGATCGTGCAGACCAACAGCAAACAACTAAGGTGCTGCATCACTTGGGAATAAGAACCAGAGATGTAACACGGACTCAGGTGGATTGGAAACCGAAATGAAGCTTTAACCATCTGGATAAGCATGGTACTGATTACAGGCATATACATGTATTATGTCAACAGATTTTTCCATGAAAGCCGTATAGAAACAAGGTTGTATACAGATGATTGAGCAAGAGAATTTTCTGCAGGTGCTTCATTTAAATGTCTGAAAACAGCAACTATTTTGGTCCATAAAGAAGGGAGCTTGCAGTATGTATAATCATATAATCATAATCTTTCTTATTTCCATCGAGCTCTACTGTTTTGGCCCCAACTTAAAGGGTGTCTTTAGTTTGTAATTAAAGCCTTCAACATATTAGATTGAATAAATGTCACCATTTCAGAAAATTAAAAGTGCTTCTAGCACTTCCTACTCTATCAATCTCTTAGGCAGTCAGACTTAGCAGGGTGCTTAATTCTTTGGAATTTCCCATATTCTTTTTTACCATCCTGTTATATATAAGTTTGGTCTTGGTTAGTTATGATTTCAACCAAAGTGTGTTACAACTTCTCCTTATGAACAATTAACAAGGTTAAATGGTCAAAGAACTTGAAAGTTGCAAACAATAATCCAAAACTTGCTTTCAGTAGCTAGAAATTTGGCATGTTCCATAGGTTTTCAGCGTTTGCTGCCTATTTTTTGTGCTTGCCAGGTAAGTTTAATATGTTAATAATACTGAATTTCATCAAATTATCATTCTTAAATTATTTATGTGGATAATAAAAAGTGGAAAAATTCTCTTCTTAAATATGAACAGTATATATAAATTTGTATGTTATGATGATCTTATGTACAAAAAAGTATTTATAAACTAATTATATGAAATGTCTCAAACAATAATCATCACAAAAATTACTTTCAAATTATATATAAGTTATTTAAAAGAGTGAATCATTTAAATATATGAATCAATTGATTAACATAAATTATAGCAAATTAAATGAAATTAATCCGACCAACGGGTCGGGTAAAAGCTAGTGTATTATTAATGATGCCAAGAAATGAATGCTAAATTTGATGGGCTGAGAATTGAGATGCAGAGCCGAGTAGAGGCCCAACTCACCCGGCCCGCTCACCTCCTCTCACTCTCTCTCTCTTTCCCGCTCCCGCCCAATCCCTCGCCAGCCAGCATCATCCGCCGCCGGCGTTTTTGTAACAGAATCTGGCTCCCGAGAAGCAAAGAAATTGACGCAAATCAAAGAAATTGACGCAAGAAGCAATGATTACTCAGATTTCTCTCCTACTCCTACTCTCTCTTTCCTCCACCGGAGCAACCAACTCCTCCACCGCCGCCATCGGTGCCGCATACACTTGTACTCTCACCTCGCCGCCATCCTCCTCCACCGGCGGCAACCCTTCTGCCATCGTCGCCTCCGCCGGCCTTCCGCATCCCAACCCCAATGTCATCAGAGCCGTCTCCTTCACCACTGCCTCCCTGCTTCTTTCGATCCCAAACGGGCTCCTCGCTCCCCTGGCTTCCAATCGCACTCTGGCCGTTCTCTGGCTCCGCCCCCACGTCCTCCCTTTCTTTCCACGCTGCAAGATCGCCATAATCTCCATCTCCGTCGGCGAAAGCGACCGGGTCTCCCAGCTCCCGCTCCCGATTCCCGCTTTCCGCAACATCCTAATCGCACTCAGAGGCATCGGAATCCGGTTGATCACAGTCTCCACGGCGGCGTTCCCTCCTTCCCCTGCCGCGTTCGAGGAGCCGATCGGCGAGGAGCTCATCCGTCCACTGTTGCTGCAGTTCTTAGAGGAAACAAATTCCACATTGTTGGAGATTCTTGATCTGAACAACAAGTTCAGGCTCGGATGGGCTCTGTTCCTGAAAGGGGCAAACGGCGACGACTTCGCCACCGGAGTCCAGCACATGGATGCTGTCCCTACGTTATCGGCGGCACCCGGCCGCGGAAACATTCCCTGGGTCGTCGGCGAGACGGGCTGGCCGATCTCCGACGCAGACATCGCCGCCTATTCCGGCGCTAATCCCGGGAAGTACGCTGAGTGGTACTTGAAGTCGTTGGTCGCACACTTGATCCTCGCCCATGGAACGCCGCTGGGAAGAGAAGGGCTGGCAGAGGACTACATCTACAAGTTGGTTGAAGGCGATCCGGAGGAGGACAACTGGGGCCTAATTTACCCGCACGATACTCATTCCTCATCTGCTTCCAGCGCATGTAGCACCTTCACCTTCACCTTCCTATTAGTGATAGTCTTTACTCTGCTCGTCCCCCTCCGGAAGGCATCTCTGTTCGACAACGTCACTTTTCCTCCGGTGATACTCGCCGGCATGCTATACGGTCTGGCGCGTCAGGTAGCCGCCAAAGTCAGAAAACATAGAGTGCTGTTCAGTTTGGCCACAATGCTCACTGCTATAATCTGGCTTTTTCTGGCCCAGCACTTTTTGGGGCTCTTCACCCTAGTAACCATCTTCTTCCCTCACTTTCGCGTGGAATCGTCGCCGGCGGCTTTCAATGTGATCCTCTCTTTCGCGTTGATGTTTCTTCTTATGACAGTCGTTTTTCTGATGGTTTTAGAAAAGGTCGTAGCAATCAAACCCAGACCACTACAAACCATTTGCCTGATTGCTGTGGCCGCCCTTCTTACACTTTGGTATTTTGGCCATCTTCCGCTGTGACGTGAATTGATCTGGGTATAGTGGCTTAATTGTTGGCTTGATTCCAATTTCAATTGAGCTGTTCATTGTTGTATAGATGGAATCGAAATGAGGAACTCCCTTCTGTAAACACAGTTTTGTAATGATGAATACTAATGATTGACGAGTGGATTTGGTTCCCCATTAATTCATTTCTTTCTTCTGAATTCCGACTCCCCAGTAGCATAGAATTAGAAGTCGAAGACCAAGCACGTTGACCGTAGCCCCTGAACGTTAATTGACTGTAGCTACCACTAGCATGATGGAATGGAACCCCTGAAACTGCGTCGTTTGGGACAAGTACTGATGCACATTAATTGGAGCAACTATTTTGAGGGTATGTTAATTAGTAGTTGGTTGCTGTTAGTGAGCGCTTCTCCGTTGAATGTCTACTGTAGGACAGTTAGATTTAGAAAGCAAGGTTTAGGAAACCCTATCTTATCGGCTGCCTGGATCGGAAATACCGGATATCGGACTCAAAATGATAAACGGTTTCTGTGGTAGGAAACGGGTTAATTACCGTTAAACCACAGTTTTAGTGCAAAATATATTACCACTAACTTTTCCGGTATAACCTTCAATACAATTTCGTAATCGTAAACCTTGTAAGAAAGCCACACTTCTCCTGGACTTCTTCTGAAGAATCCCGCAAACTTCCTTAATCTGATCTGTGTTTGGAGCAAGTTTTAGTTGGTAATAAACGTGGATCTCATTTGTCCAAAGGAGGGATGGATACACCTTAATGATTCATTATACACAAGGTCTGGTGTCATGTTAAACAAGGTCCAGTTCAAGAACCATTGGGATTCTTTGAAAAAGCAATGGAGAATTTAGTCTAAGTTGATTGCCACTAGTTACATGAAATGGAATCCAGTTGCCCATAAATTGGGTGCTATTGAACCATTGGAATAACTTCTGATCACTTAATTCGGATTCTTTATCATTCATAGTGGTTTGGGGTATTCATTTATTTTGTATATCTACTGGTATTATATTTCTCTATTAAATCCAAGCGAAAATAAGACAATTATGCATCAAAATAGTAATTAGAAACTTCAAGCGATTATCCTATTGCAAATATGGAATCATAAAATCCAACATCTAATGTGTTCAAATTTTATGGTCAACAATGATATAAAAGAATAACAATTAAGAACACATAAACTGTAAAATACTAATTAATTAGTAACTAATATATATCTTAAAAAAAGTTGGAGTTGTTAAGAGCTGGCATTAACATATGTTGATAGTTTAAGGATATTACAATTATCAAATCTCAATTCTTCTAAACATCTTTTAGGCTTTTGATTAAATGAAATACTACATGGCTCAAACATACAATCACATATTGTGAAAATCAAAGTTTCTTAAATGAATTATGATTTCAGAAAAAAAGAATACAGTCAGTGGAACATTTTATTTTGTATTATTTATATTTATCGATATTTATATTTTAAACAATATGATATATTTATGTAGTCTTTGCATGATTTGTACGTAATATATTTGGTACTAGTTATTGGTGATATTATGTTTAATTAATTCATAGGTATTTTTATTGGAATGCAATATTCCGTTGCATTGTTCTGCGTTTCCCTCTCCATTTTCATTACAAAAATTTGTAGATTCAACATTTCTCATTTTTTTCATTCTCCTTTTTTTATCCGATGACAACAATTAAGGGTGGGCATCGATCGATTCGGTCCAAGACCGGACCAAACTATCCTCGGACCGGACCAAAATTTATTCTAAATCAAGGACCAAAGTCGAATCGTTATTACTTCCATTCGGTCTGGATCAAACCATATATAGCTCGATTCGGTCTGGATCATCCCATTGGACCGACTAATCTTTCATTCGAATAAAATCACTCTGAAAAGACAATACAAGAATTAAAAAATGTAACTACATAAAAAGAAGGAATCAACTTATCCCAATTTAAATACTCCACAATTCTTAAAACCCACATGTTCCAAAATATTATGCAAAAAGCTAAACGAGAACTACTTAACTAAAAGATAAAAGTCTTTTTATTCAATTTCAAAGGTAGTCTAACTAATTGCCTCTCTAATCTTTAATTTTCATTTCCAGAGTGCACGTTGGACCTCCCAATCTCCAGAATTTTCACTATTCATTAGAAAGGCTTTCTTATGCAACTAGCTTTTTACCCGGCCCGTTGGCCGGAGAGTTTCATTTTATCATTGACATTAATTCAATTTATCTATATATTTAAACTATTTTAGACCTTCTAAATTTATTATATTTTGTATTGATAAGTGAGTACGTATGTGGTGTGTCTATATATTGAAAATTCTCAATACTTAGCACATTCACTTATACTGTTTGAATTCTCTAATCACAAACCATGTCACAAAGGTATACCACGTCCATGTATATTGTTTTCTATCTTATATGAATCCATGTTGTTCAGATGAGGACATCTTACGGAGAGTTTCTTTGTATATATACTTCATTATTGGATAAATTTCTTCATCCCAATTTAAAGTTGACACTTTGAATGTTCATGAAGTTTACTGTAAGATCAATTGCTAATTTCTGAAATTTAATTTGGACTAACTGAGACTCATTGTCGTTGTTTATATATTGTTTTAGAATCTCAATCCAAGATACCCACATACGGATTTTGATCTTAATATGGTGCGTTAATGTATAATTTTACAACTTGTAGAACCTTCGTTTTCTAAAATTTATTTATGTTTGGTATTTGTTTAGAAATAAAAATTTCATTACTTATACTAATATATGCATTTTTTGTATTGCCACATTTATGGTCAATATATAAGCATATATATTAAAAAGAGTTTAATTATTTTTAAGTATAATTAATGCTTGTTTTTTATCGGGATTTAAAAAATGTTAAGAAAATAAGGGAAATATGAACAATTGTAAAAGAAAATAAGGGATGGAAGGACATATTATAAGTGAGAGAAAAGTTATTTTTACTTATCATCTTACAGGCTTATGTATTTTATCTTACAATTATCATTGTTGCTCTCATCATATTTGATATTTATAAAACATATATAATATTTTCGTGAAATTTATTTTTTTAACTAATTTTATGCATTCTAATTTTGTGCATCTAATTATAAAAACTCAATCAGGTTTGAATCCATATAGTAGTACCTAATTATAAAAAAATCAATTTATGTCACCCTTATCAAAAAATTATCTTTGTTTGCATTTGAATGATTTATCACCGTCTGTTTCACTAATGTAATTTTAGCATAAGTGTGAATGTTAGCATGTCGGTTGGAGTTATGAAGATAAATTAAACCATTGATACTCGAGTACCGATAGGGGTATGAGCATGATATTGATTTTGCTGTCCGATTTTTTTTTATTATAGTAAACTCCAAACTACGTTAGGTAGGATAATGGATATTGAAACAACTGTCTCCCGGAATCGGGCCGCTTGTTCTTTTTTGGGGCCACCATTGACCTTAACTTGTAGTGGACCGAACATTATTTGGCCTGGGCCTAACCTTAAGGGTAAAATCGTAATCTGGTATGCGAACTAAAGTTTTGAATTCGAGAATACGATTACGTGCAAAGAAGTGTAATCACACCACGCAACACCTTAAATTGATACTACTTCAAATTTTTAGGTTGAAGCATATTATTATTTGGAACTTATTTATCTATTTAAATATAGAATTTGATTAATTTATGACAACCTATAAACATAGTGCAACAGCCAGTTTAGAAAGTTATTTGAAAGATAAAGGAATTTAAACTTTGGTGGTAATTAGAACCTATGGGAAGCGGAATCACTCTGTCTCATGGTGGGCAACCACAAAGATCGTGGGATTGGGTTTACAAATGAGAGCACCAATATCAGGCCCAAATGATGTCAAAAATCTATTTCTTCTGGCCCATGTAAGCCACCGAGAACTGGGCTGTGTAAACCAAAACGCACAGCAACATTTATTCTGATGAGTTGTGTTATTACAATTTACAACACAGCCCATCCGGAAATCACTCTGAGAGCTCTAGTTTCAAAATGCTGAAAAATGAAAAGCTGGGGACTGGAATCCTAATCCGACGATGCTAAATATATAGTAGCCGGCCGCCGGCCGTGTCCCCAAAGGACTAGGAAATTTCTTCAAAATTTTACAAATAAATAGAGGGATGGGACAGAAAGAAAACAAGCCGTTTCAGTTCCAGTTCCAGCGGCGTTAATCAATCCAAACTATGGCGCCCCGGGATCTGCGTCTTCTCCGTTGCTCCTCCTCGGCAGGGGAACTGCATAGAATTAGAGTCCCAAACCCTCCGTCTCCGTCTCCGTCCCCGTCTCCTTCCAGCATCAACAGCAAGCTGGGAGGCGATCTCCTCTTAGAAGTTGTAATTCGCGTTCCGGACCCGAGGTCCGCCTTCCGCTGCAAACTGGTCTGCAAGCGGTGGAACTCTCTGATCTCAGATCCCTATTTCAACCGCCGTTTCGTCTCCCATCACCAGAGGATGAGCGAAGGATACCCATCGCTGCTTATTCGCTCAAGGGATCGCGAATCCGTTATCCTGAGCTTCCTCCCCTTGCCTCGTTGTTTTTACAAAGGGGCTTTCCGTGTTTTCGATTGCTTCAAGGACTTGGTTCTATGCGGGATGTGGGTCTGTGATCCCGGAATGGGCAGGTCTTGGTTTGTCTGCAATCCGTTTACCAAGCAATGGGTTGCCCTTCCTTTAATGCCTAAACGGTCGCGGGAGGAACGTGCTGGAATGGTTGCGAGGTTAGTTTGTGAACCTCGTTCTAATCCCGAGCTTGATCTTGGAGATGGCCAAGTATTTGTTCATTCCGAGTATCGGTTTCGGGTGGTGTGTATGTATAGAGAGGGTGGGGGAGGGGATGGCTCTACAAAACTAGACGTGTTTTGTTCAGAGTCTGGAGCCTGGACCGAGGGGGCTCTTGTCCTTGACGGTAAATATAGTACCTATATTGATCAAGTAGTTTCGTGCAACGGCAGGTTCTTTTGCTATGCCTCGGAATCTGCTGCAATTCCTCCAATTCTTGGCATTGATCCTTTCCGCCTCGATAGACCTCCATACCGTGTGGATAATCATCCTGGGTTTTCATGGGAACCTTTTGATATCTCAATCTCGCAAGGCGTTTTGCACATAGCTCGACTTGTTGACAACTCTGCAGCTGCACCTCCCTTGTTGACTGTTTGGAGACAGGAAGAGGACGACGACCACCAACATATATCTTGGAGTGAAGTATATCAAGTGTCGTTGAAAGAGCCGTCAAAATCATGTAATTACAGTCGTAAACGTTGCTACTTTGCCTGCTTGCATCCAGACGACCCGGAAATTGTCTTCTTGTATAATGACTTCGACGTTATATTGTATCACGATGTGAGGACGGGGGAGGAAGGCGTCTTTGATGATGAATTTTCACATCCCTGGCTGCTGTTCCAGCCTAGGATATCCTGCTGGCCTACCCCAATTCCAAACTACGAAAAACTCCGAGCTGCATACGACGGAAGCTGCTGCTGCGCCTGTTGTGTCCAACAGACCAGCCGCCAAGCTGCTCGTCGTCAGTATTCTTCCTCTTTCTATTCCAAATATGCTCATTTGCTTGTTGGATTTGAAAAATGAGCTTTTGAGTTTTGAAAACCTTTGGATTTATGATGGATTTATTGCATTTTGTATTTGAAAGATAATATTGTTTGTTTAGTTGAATTTTTATCATGAATTGAGTTCATTTGATATTTGGGCCTAAAAAATTTGCCTTTCATAGTGTGGTATTTGCAAATACGTAGGGTCCATGGATTTGGAACTTAAAAAAATATCCAAATCCGTGGGCCCCACGGATTTGTATACCTCAACAAACAATGTTTTTTCACCAAATACATAATACTTGGTATTTGGGTGCCAAATACAACACTCAAATCCCACAAGCAAACTAACTCAGTAATGAAATTGTAATCAACAATGTGGGCGTCCTTGACGTTTGCCCTCACATTTTCAGGTTCTTCCACCTGTTCCTCCTCCTGTCAATGTTGTGCTGCTACCGCATCATCAACCGCAAACTGTGGGGACTTATCTCATCTGTAAGAATTTGTTTTCCTTGCCTATTCGTTTTACTACATGTTTTGTTACCTTCTGGTTTTGAGGACATTGGCTTTTAATACATGTTTTGTTCCTGAGTTTGCTGACTTTGTCCTGAGTGACCAAAGCCTGTACAAGAAAAAGGATATGATGGTCGGTTTGGAGGCAGTGGAGGCAGATAGTCTCACCTGACTGACTATGTTCATTGCTGCAAGATCGTGGCTAGTGTTTGTTGTTTTTACTTTTATCGAGAGCCTCGTGCTTGTTATTTTTGAAAGCTATGAATGACTCGAGTTTTTGGGGGGTAAACAAACTCTGTATAGAGCTTCAAGTGTTCCATTTTGTAGATGGTTTCCTCTCTCTTCAGCTCCTGTTTATTGACAAGGGCATTCATTCAATCATGATGCTAAGCTGTCTGTCCTGTTGAAGCAGCTCTGCGGTCGAGTTTTGTGTTTCGTTTTGCAGGAACGGATGCTAATGCTCTGATTAGCCAGCCAAGATTGTCCAAATTCAGGTTGCAACTGAACATGAGATGGTAAAAAGAGGTGCGTGCCTATGTTACACATTTTCTCTGAGGTACATTCGCTTGAACGAACTTAAACTGCAGTCAAGTGTTGAGACTGCTAAGCAAGGATTGCATCTGCATTTCGTGAAGTGTGGCATGGAGCTTTGTTTTCTGTCTTTACTTGCAGAAGGCGGGAACAAGATGACAACAGCAAGTAGAAATTCAATACAGAAATCGAGCAAGGATATAGCTAGCTCTTTTCCAATCTTATTCCAAACCATATAGAAATTCAATACATATAGCGAAGTAGCATACTATAAGGAAATGTACATAACATTAACTAGCTTGGTACCCGGCCGTTGGCCAAATTATGTTGCGTTTGAATATTTAAACAATCTCAATTTTTGTTTTCTCTAAGCATAAGCATTAGACAAATGGATCCCTATTCATGATTATTAACATTTATTCTACAATCAGTCTATCCTCCGTCAGTATGTTTCGTGCGACTTGTCCTTACACTTTCAAAGAAGTTAAATGAATATCTCTTCATAAATATTCATATAAAAATGTTCATTACCTTTTTGAACAAATGATTTTTTATTTTATGTGACGCATATATTCATATCCAGTTTTCATTGTTTTTCGACATATGAATATTGGTTCACATGTGCTTTACTATTTTTTCGACATATGAAATTGAAAACTATTAAAATAAATCGAACAAGATATTTTTAGCTTCACAAAATAAAGATAAAAAGACGCGAGCAAAAAATAGTAATAAAATTTAAATGTTATGCCTTATTGGCTAGGGATTCTCACCATCAAAATACCATCATAACCATGTCTTACCTTAATGTTCTAAGCTACGGGAATAATTAAAAGTTTGAGGAGAATAAGTTACAGTTAAGTGTCTTAGTTGAGAAAGTAAGCAAATGGCCTAGAATGGCCTCTGCCAGCGTATATATAGCTTTGGTTGCACTAAGGCATGAATCACTTGGTTATGGTTTAGGAGAAAGGTGGAACACATTATTAATCATCAACATTATTGTTTGAGGGTTGAGTGACTCCACTTTGAAAACCTTAGCAAATGATCTAGCATGGCCTCTACCAATGTATAAAAATCCTTGGTCAAGGACTAAGCAGTGACGGAGCCAGAAAATTGGCCAATGGGTGTCTTTATCATATCACAAAAAATCACCTATACAATAGAAAAGTCAACTTTAAATGAAACAAAAAGTCAACAATGCAATACTCTAAATTCATACAATTACATTAAAATAGTTTTACGTACACTGATTACAACGTCAAACAAATAAGTTCAGTACATACAAGTCAAGACTTCCATTCATCAAATATTACAAATTAGAACTCAGAAGTACCTTGGAATTGATTTTGTGAAACAAACAAGTGAACTTCAATTGGTACTTCTTCACTTTCAGCTTTGTTTAAACAAAAGACAAGAAATTTCTCTATTGTAGAGCTACAAAAGAAATGAGCGAGTTTAAACAAAACACAACAATTTATTACTTTAAATAAAAACGAAAGTGCATTGCATAACAAAATTCACCCAGTTGAGATGGTATCAAATTCTTCTTGCAACTGAATGGTCACTGATTCAAATTTTTATATACCCCTACTCGGGAATTTTTTCTCCAAACCCAAGGGGGGTGCACCCCCTCCTCTCCAAGTGGCTCAGCTACTGGGACTAAGGCTAGCCCGGTAAGGATGGGGAATTTGTTAGTTTAGATCATCAGTTGAGTAGGGTTTCATTTTTTATGAATCAGTTGAGTAGGTTTGATGAAAGAAATTTTAGTGAAAGATTATGTATTTTAACAATTTGGCTAAAACATGTTCACATTAGTCTAGAACTAAGCATAAAGTGTGATTGAGTAAGATTAGACCTAAGGTAAATAAACATTAACAAATATTTTTAATCTTTGTTGGGGAACTCGAACTAACAACCTCGGGCAAAAACTACGTGTATAAGGCCTAAGGTATTTTGTTTATAGGAACCTGAGCTTCAGCTTTATTATGACGACAACGGCGTTACATCATCACTTACAAGTTGATCCAACAGATTCAGCGGTGGTCTTTCTAACCATACATCCGCTATATTCCATCTCGCTCTGGTGTGAGCCATAATATGTGCCGCCTCATTGACATTCCTACTAGCATACTGCACTTGCCCTTCACTAACCTCAGACACCAGCTTGGTTATGTTCTTGAGAACCGCTCCTAGCTCCGTTTGTACCTTCTCCGACACTTTCAGCTTGTTCACCACTACTTGACAGTCGGTTTCCACAATGGGTGAGACTACCTGATGTTGGCGTGTCAATTGTAAGCCAAATTCCACTGCTAGAGCTTCTCCCGTCGTAGGGTCAAGGATTCCTTTAATCCTCTTGATTGCCGCCAAAATGAACCCACCATTATGGTCTCTGGCTACCACGCCCAGCCCGACACCTTCCTCATCCAGTCATGCATCCGTGTTGAGTTTTATTCTCCCTATTGGAGGCCTCGTCCAGGACTGGCAAGCAACTGGGATTTGTGTATTGTCCTGGTGCTGTTGCTGGTGGCGATACTCCTCCACGTAGAGAGACCCTCTTGGAACAATATCATTCTCTTCCATCTTCTTCCCATTGAAAAGGTGTGCATTGCGTTCCCTCCAAAGTGACCATAAGAGGACAATCCACTCTTTAAGCTCCCTCACTTGGACGGTTTTTATAACCTTTCGAACCCAATCCATGCAATTGCGATCCTCTCAAAGCTCAAAACCATGTGCCACCATCGATGTTCGCCACAACCTGCTCTCCCATGAGCACTCGTTGAATGCATGTATCTGTGTTTCGAATTGATCGCAGAAAGGGCAGGTACCAATGCGTTGCGGATTTCGTTTGTGTACCCTTTATCCGGGTTCCCAACACTTCGAGGCTCACGTTGTTCTTGAAATTTACTCAACCACACCCTGTACCCACTCTTAGCCGTATAATGGCCATCGACACAATCCGTCCATATCAGCTTATCTTGTTCTTCCGAATGTCGTAATGGAATTTGCTTAATAGCTTCCACCATATCAGTTGGGAACCAACTTTCCAAAATAGTCTCATCCCACTTCTCCTCCTCGTCATCAATTAGCAACCGAGTCTACCGGGAGACCCATTGGTGGGGACTGAATAAAGTTATTCGGATGTTGAGGGCAGCCATCAATCCCCCCCAGATACGAACAGCCAACCCATTCCCGATTTGTCACCTTAGACCTTCCACCAAGAAATCCTGAGCACTCATTAAGCTACTAGAGATTCTGGCACACTATCATTCTTGTGATATTTCGCCTTCCTGATCCGAGCTACTAGAGATTCTGGTCGTTGGTACAGATGCCACAGTTGCCTCGCTAGTAAGGCTTGGTTGAAACCCCATACCTCCCTGCTCCTTCGTACAGATCGGCGCTTCCCTCACCACCCAGGGAGTCTTCCTCTCTTCACCTTTCTGACCCCACCAAAACCGGGTAATTAACCCATGTATTTCATCAAGAATCCCATCGGGAACCTTAAAGATCGACATAGTGTACGTCAGTTGAGCTTGAGCCACTGACTTAATTAGGACTTCCGGCGCTGCAGCAGACATTGACTTCTCTTTCCACCCCGCCAGCTTCTTACGAACACGGTCCTTCAGGTAGATAAAAAGATCCTTTTTCGATCGGCCTACCTCAGTCACAAGGCCCAAGTACTTATCATGTTTGTCCACCTCCTTCATACCCAAATTAAAGCTTGCCACTAAACATTTATGTGGTTTCACATTAGAGCCAGACATCATCTCCGACTTCTCCAGGCTAACAAGCTGACCCGATTCTTTTTGATAATCTGCAAGCACCCTTCTTAATTCTCGGCTCTCCTTTTCTGTTTCTCTAACAAAAAAGATAGAATCGTCAGCGGAAAAAAGGTGTGAAATCACCGGGGCGCCCCTGGCCACCGAAAGTCCATGGAGCTTTTTCTGAGTGACGGCCAGGGACATGTAGCTCGATACTCCCTCTGCTACCAGTAAAAAA